AGGCGAGAGGACAGAGGAAAGAGGACAGAGGAGAGAGGACAGAGGCGAGAGGACAGAGGACAGAGGACAGAGGACAGAGGACAGAGGAGAGAGGGGAGAGGACAGAGGACAGAGGACAGAGGACAGAGGAGAGAGGAGAGAGGACAGAGGACAGAGGACAGAGGACAGAGGAGAGAGGACAGAGGACAGAGGACAGAGGACAGACCTGGAGGCAGCAGCTGTAGAGAGAAGGAGCAGTGTCTGTCGTACGAGTCATGATCAGTGATGACCACAAAGATACTCTTCCTGCAAACACCATCAACACCATCAAGACCAGAGAGAGACCAGAGAGAGAGACCAGAGAGAGACCAGAGAGAGACCAGAGAGAGAGGCCAGAGAGAGACCAAAAAGAGACCAGAGAGAGACCAGAGAGAGACCAGAGAGAGAGACCAGAGAGAGTCCACAAATAGACAACAAGTATACAGGAGCCCCTGTGGGCCCACCACCTGCAGAGGGGTCCGTGGCGGCTCGGTGTAGAGAGGACTGGGCAGCAGTCGAAGGCGGAGACCTCGGCGACCCAGTCCACACACCCAACATCTGGCTCTTGGGACGTGGAACGTCACCTCACTGGGGGGGAAGGAGCCCGAGCTTGTGGGGGAGGTCGAGAGGTACCGACTAGAGATAGTCGGCCTCACCTCCACACACAGCTTGGGCTCTGGAACACAACTCCTTGAGAGGGGTTGGACGCTCCACTTTTCTGGAGTTTCCCGCGAGGAGAGGCGGCGAGCTGGGGTGGCCATTCTCATTGCCCCCCATCTCAGCCGCCACGTGTTGGAGTTCTCCCCGGTGAATGAGAGGGTCGCGTCCCTCCGCCTCCGGGTGGGGGACAAGTCTCTCACTGTTGTGACGGCCTACGGGCCTAACAGCAGTGCAGAGTACTCGGCCTTCTTGGAGTCCTTGGGAGGGGTACTGGACAGTGCACCGCCCGGGGACTCCGTTATTCTCCTGGGGGACTTCAACGCCCATGTGGGAAATGCCAGTGACACTTGGAGAGGGGTGATCGGGAAGAGCGGCCCCCCTGATCTGAACCCGAGCGGTGTTCAGTTGTTGGACTTCTGTGCTAGTCACAGTTTGTCCATCACGAACACCATGTTCGAGCACAAGGGTGTCCACCAGTGCACGTGGCAACAGGACACCCTAGGCCGGAGGTCGATGATAGACTTTGTTGTCGTATCATCTGACCTTCGACCGCGTGTCTCGGACACTCGGGTAAAGAGAGGAGCGGAGCTGTCAACCGATCATCACCTGGTCGTGAGTTGGATCCGCTGGCAGGGGAAGAAGCCGGTCAGACCTGGCAGACCCAAGCGTATAGTGAGGGTCTGCTGGGAACGTCTCGCTGAGCCCCCTGTCAGACGGACTTTCAACTCACACCTCCGGGAGAGCTTCTCCCAGGTCCCGGCGGAGGAGGGGGACATGGAGTCCGAGTGGACCATGTTCTCTGCCTCAATCGCCGATGCGGCGGCTCGTAGCTGTGGTCGCAAGGTCTCTGGTGCTGGTCCCGGCGGCAACCCCCGAACCCGGTGGTGGACACCGGCAGTAAGGGATGCCGTCAGGCTGAAGAAGGAGTCCTATCGAGCCATGATGGTTCGGGGGACTCCTGAGGCAGCTGTCCAGTACCGGCAGGCCAAGCGTACCGCGGCCCGGGCTGTTGCAGAGGCAAAAACCCGGGACTGGGAGGAGTTCGGAGAGTCCATGGCGCATGACTATCGGTCGGCCTTGAAGAGATTCTGGCAAACCATCCGGCGCCTCAGGAGGGGGAAGCAGTTCTTTGCCAACACCATGTACGGTGCGGGTGGAGAGCTGCTGACCTCGACTGGGGATATTGTCGGGCGGTGGAAGGAATACTTTGAGGTTCTCCTCAATCCCCCCGTCACGTCCTCCGCTCCGGAGGCAGAGGCTGAGGATGTTGGGGCGGATACATCCATCTCCCTGGCTGAGGTCACCAAGGTGGTTGGCAGCCTCCATGGTGGCAAGGCGCCGGGAGTGGATGAGATCCGTCCTGACTATCTAAAGTCTCTGGATGTTGTAGGACTGTCTTGGCTGACACGTCTCTGCAGCATCGCGTGGCGATCGGGGGCGGTGCCAATGGAGTGGCAGACCGGGGTGGTGGTCCCTCTCTACAAGAAGGGGGACCGGAGGGTGTGTTCCAATTATCGTGGGATCACACTCCTCAGCCTCCCCGGTAAGGTCTACTCCAGGGTACTGGAGAGGAGGCTACGTCCGATGGTCGAATCTCGGATTCAGGAGGAGCAGTGTGGTTTTCGTCCCGGTCGCGGAACACTGGACCAGCTCTATACTCTCCATCGGATACTCGAGGGTTCATGGGAGTTCGCCCAACCTGTCCACATGTGCTTTGTGGATTTGGAGAAGGCGTTTGACCGTGTTCCCCGGGGTGTCCTTTGGGGGGTTCTCCGGGAGTACGGGGTCGGAGGTCCTCTGCTGAGGGCCATCCGATCCCTGTATGACCGGAGCCAGAGCTGTGTTCGCATTGCCGGCAGTAAGTCAGACCTGTTCCCGGTGCATGTTGGCCTCCGACAGGGCTGCCCTTTGTCACTGGTTCTGTTCACTGTATTTATGGACAGAATATCTAGGCGCAGCCAGGGGTCGGAGGGGGTCCGGTTCGGAGACCACAGGATTTCATCTCTGCTGTTTGCGGACGATGTTGTCCTGTTGGCTCCAACGAACCAGGACCTGCAGCATGCACTGGGACGGTTTGCAGCCGAGTGTGAAGCGGCTGGGATGAGAATCAGCACCTCCAAATCCGAGGCCATGGTGCTCGACCGGAAAAAGGTGCCTTGCCCTCTGCAGGTGGGTGGAGAGGTCCTTCCTCAAGTGGAGGAGTTCAAGTATCTCGGGGTCTTGTTCACGAGTGAGGGAAGGATGGAGCGTGAGATTGACAGGCGGATCGGTGCAGCGTGCCCAGTGATGCGGTCGCTGTATCGGACCGTTGTGGTAAAGAGGGAGCAGCGTCTGCAGTCAGAGCTGTATCGGACCGTTGTGGTGAAGAGGGAGCTGAGCCGAAAGGCAAAGCTCTCGATTTACCGGTCAATCTTCGTTCCCTCCCTCACCTATGGTCATGAGCTTTGGGTAATGACCGAAAGAACGAGATCGCGGATACAAGCGGTCGAAATGAGCTTCCTCCGCAGAGTGGCTGGGCGCTTAGAGATAGGGTGAGGAGCTCAGTCACACGGGAGGAGCTCGGAGTAGAGCCGCTGCTTCTCCACGTCGAGAGGAACCAGTTGAGGTGGCTCGGGCATCTGTTCCGGATGCCTCCTGGACGCCTCCCTGGGGAGGTGTTCCGGGCACGTCCCACCGGGAGGAGGCCCCGGGGAAGACCCAGGACACGCTGGAGGGACTATGTCTCTCAGCTGGCCTGGGAACGCCTTGGGGTCCCCCCGGACGAGCTGGAGGAAGTGTGTGTGGATAGGGAAGTCTGGGCGTCTCTGCTTAGACTGCTGCCCCCGCGACCCGACAACGGATAAAGCGGAAGAAAATGGATGGATGGATATACAGGAGCCAGAGCGAGCTGGAGCCAAACTTCACTCTGAGCACTTCCCTATTGGACTTCACTGAGCTTAGCTAGCAGGTTAGCATTGTCCATCTGTGTAACGTCTGTGTTGGGTTCATTGGGACAAAACTATTTAGTTATGTGTGTTAGAGAGAGACCAGAGAGAGACCAGAGAGAGACCAGATGGAGACCAGAGAGAGACCAGAGAGAGACCAGAGAGAGACCAGATGGAGACCAGAGAGAGACCAGAGAGAGACCAGATGGAGACCAGAGAGAGAGAGACAAGAGAGAGACAAGAGAGAGACCAGAGAGAGACCAGAGAGAGACCAGATGGAGACCAGAGAGAGAGAGACAAGAGAGAGACAAGAGAGAGACCAGATGGAGACCAGAGAGAGACCAGAGAGAGACCAGAGAGAGACCAGAGAGAGACCAGAGAGAGAGACCAGAGAGAGAGAGACAAGAGAGAGACCAGAGAGAGACCAGAGAGAGACCAGAGGGAGACCAGAGAGGGACCAGAGAGAGAGACCAGAGAGAGACCAGAGGGAGACCAGAGGGAGACCAGAGGGAGACCAGAGGGAGAGACCAGAGGGAGACCAGAGAGAGAGACAAGAGAGAGACAAGAGAGAGACCAGAGAGAGACCAGAGAGAGACCAGAGAGAGACCAGAGGGAGACCAGTGGGAGACCAGAGGGAGAGACAAGAGAGAGACCAGAGAGAGACCAGGGAGAGACCAGAGAGAGAGAGACCAGAGAGAGACCAGAGAGAGACCAGAGAGAGACCAGAGAGAGAGACCAGAGAGAGACCAGAGAGAGACCAGAGGGAGACCAGAGGGAGACCAGAGGGAGACCAGAGAGAGACCAGAGAGAGAGACCAGAGAGCGAGACAAGAGAGAGACAAGAGAGAGACCAGAGAGAGACCAGAGAGAGATGCCAGAGAGAGACCGGAGAGAGACCAGAGAGAGAGAGAAGAGAGAGACAAGAGAGAGACCAGAGAGAGACCAGAGAGAGACCACAGAGACCAGAGAGAGACCAGAGAGAGAGACCAGAGAGAGACCAGAGAGAGGGGTCAGAAAGAGACCAGAGAGAGACCAGAGAGAGACCAGAGAGAGAGACCAGAGAGAGACCAGAGAGAGGGGTCAGAAAGAGACCAGAGAGAGACCAGAGAGAGACCAGAGAGAGACCAGAGAGAGACCAGAGAGAGACCAGAGAGAGGGATCAGAAAGAGACCAGAGAGAGGGATCAGAAAGAGACCAGAGAGAGACCAGAGAGAGACCAGAGAGAGAGACCAGAGAGACAATGGAAAGCTCAGAGGTGGGAGTTCCCGAAGACGTTATGAACACAGCAAAACGGTGAGGAGTGAAGGGGTGGGGTTTATAGACACAGTGGGCAGGGCTTCTACAGGAGGGGGTGGGGCTTATACACACAGTGGGCGTGGCCTCGCGGGTTAAGCCACACCTTTCCTCTCGGTCATCTCCAGCAGCCGTGGCTCTCCCAGCTCCACAAACAGGTTCTTATTCTTCTCGTACTGGTCGTCGTCGATTATGTTTATGTGAAAGGACTTACTGTCGCCGTGGAAACAGGAAAGAGGAGAGAGAAGAGAGAGAAACGTGAAACACAGAGGAAGACACAGAGGGACAGTGTAACCAGCAGAAGGTTCTGTCTTCAGTCCCTCCTGGTCCTGGTTCTATCCAGACCGAGCTGGTACTAAAGTGTTCTAACTGACAGTGATTGGTCAGAGTGCTGCTGGGAGCCATGGTTACCAAGGAATTTCACCTGGTACTGGTTTATTGTGGGCAGATTGCAAGGATACAGTACCAGCGTAATGGAAGCACAACCAGGAAGAGTAATGTAGGGTAGGGTAGGGTCTCTCTCTCTGGTCTCTCTCCGGTCTCTCACTAGTCTCCCTCTGGTCTCTCTCTCTCTAGTCTCTCTCTCTGGTCTCTCTCTCTCTAGTCTCTCTCTCTCTGGTCTCTCTCTCTCTGGTCTCTCTCTCTCTGGTCTCTCTCTCTCTAGTCTCTCTCTCTCTGGTCTCTCTCTCTCTGGTCTCTCTCTCTCTGGTCTCTCTCTCTGGTCTCTCTCTCTCTGGTCTCTCTCTCTCTAGTCTCTCTCTCCGGTGTCTCACTAGTCTCTCTCTGGTCTCTCTCTCTGGTCTCTCTCTTTCTAGTCTCTTGCTCTGGTCTCTCTCTTTCTGGTCTGTCTCTTGAGTCTCTCTCTCTCTCTCTATTCTCTATCTCTGGTCTCCCTCTCTCTGGTCTCTCTCTCTCTCTAGTCTCCCTCTCCGGTCTCTCACTAGTCTCTCTCTCTGGTCTCTCTCTCTCTAGTCTCTCGCTCTGGTCTCTCTCTTTCTGGTCTCTCTCTTGAGTCTCTCTCTCTCTCTCTCTCTATTCTCTCTCTCTGGTCTCTCTCTGGTCTCTCTCTCTCTGGTCTCTCTCTCACTAGTCTCTCTCTGGCCTCTCTCTCTGGTCCCTCTCTCTTTAGTTTCTCTCTCCGGTCTCTCTCCGGTCTTTCACTAGTCTCTCTCTGGCCTCTCTCTCTGGTCTCTCTCTCTGGTCTCTCTCTCTGGTCTCTCTCTCTGGTCTCTCTCTCTCTAGTCTCTTGCTCTGGTCTCTCTCTTTCTGGTCTGTCTCTTGAGTCTCTCTCTCTCTCTCTATTCTCTCTCTCTGGTCTCCCTCTCTCTGGTCTCTCTCTCTCTAGTCTCTCTCTCTGGTCTCTCTCTCTCTCTAGTCTCTCTCTTCCGGTCTCTCACTAGTCTCTCTCTCTGGTCTCTCTCTCTCTAGTCTCTCGCTCTGGTCTCTCTCTTTCTGGTCTCTCTCTTGAGTCTCTCTCTATCTCTCTCTTTAGTCTCTCTCTCTGGTCTCTCTCTCTCTCTAGTCTCTCTCTCTAGTCTCTCTCTCTGGTCTCTCTCTTTCTGTTCTCTCTCTTGAGTCTCTCTCTCTCTCTCTATTTTCTCTCTCTGGTCTCCCTCTCTCTTGTCTATCTCTCTCTGGTCTCTCTCTCTCTCTGGTCTCTCTCTCTAGTCTCTCTCTCTGGTCTCTCTCTCTCTAGTCTCTCTCTCTGGTCTCTCTCTCTCTGGTCTCTCTCTTGATTCTCTCTCTCTCTCTATTCTCTCTCTCTGGTCTTCCTCCCTCTGGTCTCTCTCTCTCTAGTCTCTCTCTCTGGTCTCTCTCTTGAGTCTCTCTCTCTCTCTCTATTCTCTCTCTATTCTCTCTCTCTGGTCTCCCTCTCTCTGGTCTCTCTCTCTCTAGTCTCTCTCTCTGGTCTCTCTCTCTCTGGTCTCTCTCTCTCTAGTCTCTCTCTCTGGTCTCTCTCTCTCTAGTCTCTCTCTCTGGTCTCCCTCTCTCTGGTCTCTCTCTCTCTGGTCTCTCTCTCTCTGGTCTCTCTCTCTCTGGTCTCTCTCTCTCTAGTCTCTCTCTCTGGTCTCTCTCTCTCTAGTCTCTCTCTCTGGTCTCTCTCTCTCTGCTCCCAGCTCAGATAAACAGTGTGTTTGCAGCAGTGCCAGCGCTTTACTGCAGCAGCAGCGTCACCACGGCGATGGGAGCTGTCTGTCTGTGACGAGGAGCAGAGCGACTCCAAAGAGACGCCTAAAAAGGAGAGAGGCCCGAGTGTTTATCACACACAGATACAGAGTCAGGACCAGGTCTGGACCAGGGCTGGACCAGGACTGGACCAGGCCTAAACCAGGTCTGAACCAGGTCTGAACCAGGACTGATCCAGGTCTAAACTAAGAAACCAGGACCTCAACCCTACTCTTCCTGGTTGTGTTTCCATTACACTGGTATCGTAACTCAGCACCCTTCCTGCAAAAAAAAAAAAAAACAGAATCAAGTGAAATTCCTTGGTAACCATGGCTTCCAGCTGCACTCTGGCCAATCACTGTCAGTTAAAACACTTTAGTACCAGCTCGGCCTGGATAGAACCAGGACCAAGAGGGACTAAAGAAGGACCTGGTACTGGTTACACAGGACCAGGAAACACTCCCAATCAGGAGAGAGTAGAGTACAGTAGAGTACAGTAGAGTACAGTAGAGTACAGTAGAGTACAGTAGGGTAGAGTTGCTGGTTTCTTTGACCTTAGTATCTCCTTGTGTGGTGTAATGTTTGGTGCCATACAAATAAATCTGCACTCACACGATCTCGTTGTCGGCGAACTCCAGGACCCCGTGTGTGTCCTCGTAGTCCTCCCCTCCCCCTCGTGCCGATCCCTCCACGGTCCGGTACGGCACGGCCACGGCTCCACGGGCGCCACACGACCGCAACACCCGCGCCTCCATCACCCCCGCGCTCTCGCTCACCGTCACCGCGGCAACCTGGAATGAGAGTAGAGTAGAGTAGGTTCAAGTAGAGTAGAGTAGAGTAGAGTAGGACAGAGGAGAGTAGGGTAGAGTAGGGTAGAGTAGGGTAGAGTAGAGTAGAGTAGAGTAGAGTAGAGTAGGTTCAAGTAGAGTAGAGTAGAGTAGAGTAGAGTAGAGTAGAGTAGAGTAGGGTAGGGTAGGGCAGGGTAGAGTACGGTAGGGTAGAGTAGGGTAGAGTAGAGTAGAGTAGAGTAGGGTAGGGTAGAGTAGGGTAGAGTAGGGTAGGGTAGAGTAGAGTAGAGTAGAGTAGAGGGTAGGGTAGGGTAGAGTAGAGTAGAGTAGAGTAGAGTAGAGTAGAGTAGGGTAGGGTAGGGTAGAGTAGAGTAGAGTAGAGTAGAGTAGGTAGAGTAGAGTAGAGTAGAGTAGAGTAGGGTAGGGTAGGTAGAGTAGAGTAGAGTAGGTAGGGTAGGGTAGGGTAGAGAGTAGAGTAGAGTAGAGTAGGGTAGGGTAGGGTAGGGTAGGTAGAGTAGAGTAGAGTAGGGTAGAGTAGAGTAGGGTAGGGTAGAGTAGAGTAGAGTAGAGTAGATTAGAGTAGAGTAGATTAGAGTAGAGTAGAGTAGAACTAGGGTAGGGTAGAGTAGAGTAGAGTAGAGTAGAGTAGAGTAGAGTAGGGTAGGTAGAGTAGAGTAGAGTAGAGTAGAGTAGGGTAGGGTAGGGTAGGGTAGAGTAGAGTAGAGTAGAGTAGGGTAGGGTAGGGTAGAGTAGAGTAGAGTAGAGTAGAGTAGAGTAGGGGTAGGTAGAGTAGAGTAGAGTAGAGTAGAGTAGAGTAGAGTAGAGTAGAGTAGAGTAGAGTAGGGTAGGGTAGGGTAGAGTAGAGTAGAGTAGAGTAGGTAGTAGGGTAGGGTAGGTAGAGTAGAGTAGAGTAGAGTAGTAGGGTAGGGTAGGGTAGAGTAGAGTAGAGTAGGGTAGAGTAGGTAGGGTAGGGTAGAGTAGAGTAGAGTAGAGTAGAGTAGACTAGGGTAGGGTAGAGTAGAGTAGAGTAGAGTAGAGTAGAGTAGACTAGGGTAGAGTAGATAGTAGGTAGAGTAGAGTAGAGTAGAGTAGATAGGGTAGGTAGAGTAGAGTAGAGTAGAGTAGAGTAGAGTAGGTAGGTAGGGTAGGGTAGGTAGAGTAGAGTAGAGTAGGGTAGGGTAGGGTAGAGTAGAGTAGAGTAGAGTAGGGTAGGGTAGGGTAGGTAGAGTAGAGTAGAGTAGTAGAGTAGAGTAGGGTAGGGTAGGTAGAGTAGAGGAGTAGAGTAGAGTAGAGTAGAGTAGAGTAGGGTAGGTAGAGTAGAGTAGACTAGGGTAGGGTAGAGTAGAGTAGAGTAGAGTAGAGTAGAGTAGAGTAGGGTAGGGTAGAGTAGAGTAGGGTAGAGTAGGGTAGGGTAGAGTAGAGTAGAGTAGAGTAGAGTAGAGTAGAGTAGAGTAGAGTAGAGTAGAGTAGGGTAGAGTAGAGTAGAGTAGGGTAGAGTAGAGTAGGGTAGAGTAGAGTAGAGTAGAGTAGAGTAGGGTAGAGTAGAGTAGAGTAGAGTAGAGTAGGGTAGAGTAGAGTAGAGTAGAGTAGAGTAGAGTAGGGTAGGGTAGAGTAGAGTAGAGTAGAGTAGAGTAGAGTAGAGTAGAGTAGGGTAGAGTAGAGTAGAGTAGGGTAGAGTAGAGTAGAGTAGGGTAGACTAGACTAGACTAGGGTAGAGTAGAGTAGGGTAGGGTAGAGTAGAGTAGACTAGACTAGACTAGACTAGGGTAGAGTAGGGTAGAGTAGAGTAGGGTAGACTAGACTAGACTAGGGTAGACTAGACTAGACTAGGGTAGAGTAGGGTAGGGTAGGGTAGAGTAGGGTAGGGTAGAGTAGAGTAGAGTAGAGTAGGGTAGGGTAGAGTAGAGTAGAGTAGAGTAGAGTAGAGTAGAGTAGGGTAGAGTAGAGTAGAGTAGAGTAGAGTAGAGTAGAGTAGAGTAGAGTAGAGTAGACTAGGGTAGAGGTAGAGTAGAGTAGAGTAGACTAGAGTAGAGTAGAGTAGAGTAGAGTAGAGTAGAGTAGACTAGACTAGACTAGACTAGACTAGACTAGGGTAGACTAGACTAGACTAGACTAGACTAGACTAGACTAGACTAGACTAGACTAGGGTAGACTAGACTAGACTAGACTAGACTAGACTAGACTAGACTACCTCAAACGAGAACACCCCTGCGTGGTCATCGTCGAATACAGTGACGGTGGCGCAGGATGGCGTCCCCAAGATGGCGGCGTGGTCACGGCCTGCGCTCACGCCGCTCAGACGAACCAGGAAGTGCTCGTCCTCCTCGTAGATGTCGTCGTCGAGGATCGGGACGTGGATCTTCCCCTCGGTCTCGCCGGGTTCGAACGCCACGGTCCCGGAGCTGTGCGTGTAGTCGGAGCCGGCGAGGGCGGTGCCGTCCTCGGTCTGGAAGGTCACGGTCAGACGCTGCGTCAGGTCGCCGCCGCGCCGCACCACCGTCAACGCCACGCTCCCACAGTTCTCCAAACACTGGTACGAGCCCGGGTCGAAGAACACCTGTGGGGACGATACCATGAGGACGAGAGAGACCAGAGAGAGAGACCAGAGAGAGACCAGAGAGAGACCAGAGAGAGAGACCAGAGAGAGAGACCAGAGAGAGACCAGAGAGAGAGACCAGAGAGAGAGACCAGAGAGAGACAAGAGAGACTAGAGAGAGACCAGAGAGAGAGACCAGAGAGAGAGACCAGAGAGAGACCAGAGAGAGGCCAGAGAGAGAGACCAGAGAGACCAGAGAGAGGCCAGAGAGAGAGACCAGAGAGACCAGAGAGAGACCAGAGAGAGACCAGAGAGAGGCCAGAGAGAGAGACCAGAGAGAGACCAGAGAGAGACCAGAGAGAGACCAGAGAGAGACCAGAGAGAGACCAGAGAGAGAGACCAGAGAGAGAGACCAGAGAGAGACCAGAGAGAGGCCAGAGAGAGGCCAGAGAGAGAGACCAGAGAGACCAGAGAGAGGCCAGAGAGAGAGACCAGAGAGACCAGAGAGAGACCAGAGAGAGACCAGAGAGAGGCCAGAGAGAGAGACCAGAGAGACCAGAGAGAGACCAGAGAGAGACCAGAGAGAGACCAGAGAGAGACTAGAGAGACCAGAGAGAGACCAGAGAGAGACCAGAGACAGACCAGAGAGAGACCAGAGAGAGAGACCAGAGAGAGACCAGAGAGAGAGACCAGAGAGAGACCAGAGAGAGAGACCAGAGAGACCAGAGAGAGACCAGAGAGAGACCAGAGAGAGACCAGAGAGAGACCAGAGAGAGACCAGAGACAGACCAGAGAGAGACCAGAGAGAGGCCAGAGAGAGAGACCAGAGAGACCAGAGAGAGACCAGAGAGAGACCAGAGAGAGACCAGAGAGAGACTAGAGAGAGACCAGAGAGAGACCAGAGAGAGAGACCAGAGAGAGACCAGAGAGAGAGACCAGAGAGACCAGAGAGAGACCAGAGAGAGACCAGAGAGAGACCAGAGAGGCCAGAGAGAGAGACCAGAGAGAGACCAGAGAGAGACCAGAGAGAGACCAGAGAGAGACCAGAGAGAGACCAGAGAGAGACCAGAGAGAGAGACCAGAGAGAGACCAGAGAGAGACCAGAGAGACCAGAGAGAGACCAGAGAGAGAGACCAGAGAGAGAGAGACCAGAGAGAGACCAGAGAGAGACCAGAGAGAGAGACCAGAGAGAGACCAGAGAGAGAGACCAGAGAGAGAGACCAGAGAGAGACCAGAGAGAGACCAGAGAGAGAGACCAGAGAGAGAGACCAGAGAGAGACCAGAGAGAGAGACCAGAGAGAGACCAGAGAGAGACCAGAGAGAGACCAGAGAGAGAGACCAGAGAGAGAGACCAGAGAGAGAGACCAGAGAGAGAGACCAGAGAGAGAGACCAGAGAGAGAGACCAGAGAGAGAGACCAGAGAGAGACCAGAGAGAGAGACCAGAGAGAGAGACCAGAGAGAGAGACCAGAGAGAGAGACCAGAGAGAGAGACCAGAGAGAGAGACCAGAGAGAGACCAGAGAGAGACCAGAGAGAGACCTGAGAGAGACCAGAGAGAGACCAGAGAGACCAGAGAGAGACCAGAGAGAGACCAGAGTGAGACCAGAGAGAGACCAGAGAGAGACCAGAGAGAGACCAGAGAGAGACCAGAGAGAGACCAGAGAGGAGACCAGAGAGAGAGACCAGAGAGAGACCAGAGAGAGACCAGAGAGAGAGACCAGAGAGAGACCAGAGAGAGACCAGAGAGAGAGACCAGAGAGAGACCAGAGAGAGACCAGAGAGAGAGACCAGAGAGAGAGACCAGAGAGACCAGAGAGAGCCAGAGAGAGACCAGAGAGAGACCAGAGAGAGACCAGAGAGAGACCAGAGAGAGACCAGAGAGAGACCAGAGAGAGACCAGAGAGAGACCAGAGAGAGACCAGAGAGAGAGACCAGAGAGAGACCAGAGAGAGAGAGACAAGAGAGACCAGAGAGAGAGACCAGAGAGAGACCAGAGAGAGAGACCAGAGAGAGACCAGAGAGACCAGAGAGAGACCAGAGAGAGACCAGAGAGAGAGACCAGAGAGAGAGACCAGAGAGAGACCAGAGAGAGACCAGAGAGAGACCAGAGAGAGACCAGAGAGAGAGAGACCAGAGAGAGACCAAAGAGAGACCAAAGAGAGACCAGAGAGAGACCAGAGAGAGACCAGAGAGAGACCAGAGAGAGAGACCAGAAGAGACTAGAGAGAGACCAGAGAGAGACCAGAGAGAGACCAAAGAGACTAGAGAGAGACCAGAGAGAGACCAGAGAGAGACCAAAGAGAGAGACCAGAGAGAGACCAGAGAGAGACCAGAGAGAGACCAGAGAGGGACCAGAGAGAGACCAGAGAGAGACCAGAGAGAGACCAGAGAGGGACCAGAGATAGAGACCAGAGTGAGACCAGAGAGAGAGACCAGAGAGAGACCAGAGAAGAGAGAGAGACCAGAGAGAGAGACCAGAGAGAGACCAGAGAGAGACCAGAGAGAGAGCCAGAGAGAGACCAGAGAGAGACCAGAGAGAGACAGAGAGAGACCAGAGAGAGACCAGAGAGAGACCAGAGAGAGACCAGAGAGAGACCAGAGAGAGAGACCAGAGAGAGACCAGAGAGAGACCAGAGAGAGACCAGAGAGAGAGCAGAGAGAGACCAGAGAGAGACCAGAGAGAGACCAGAGAGAGACCAGAGAGAGACCAGAGAGAGAGACCAGAGAGAGAGACCAGAGAGAGAGACCAGAGAGAGACCAGAGGATCTGACTCTAACCTGGGTGAAGCTCTCCAGTGCCTCTGAGGAGTGCTGTAGCGCCCCCCTCTGGTCCCTCTCGGCCGCTCCTCGCCGCAGCACGTTCCCGGCGCCCGTCATGAGGCGCGTGGCCTGGCAGCGGTAGAAGGCGCGGCTCTTCGGCGTCTGGTTCAGGACCTGCGCGTTAGCTAGCTCCGTTAGCTGCTCCAGCTCCTTTTCCGGGTGCCTCTGCTTCAGCTCCTTCAAAATGGCCGCCACCTCCCTCCGCGTCTCCTCCTGGTCCCAGTCGAAGTAGGCGTCCAGCTCCTGCCCGTTAGCCGTTAGCATCTCCACGTCGGGCGCGGGCTCTGGCTCCCCCTCGGTCTCGATGATGACCCCCCGCCGTTTGCCCGCGCGGTAACGCTTGTGGACGTACTTGTAGAAGAGCAGGCGGCGGTCGGCCACGTACGCGAAGCCGACGCAGAGCGGGAAGAAGAAGAGCGTGAGAAGCCCCTCCCAGATGTCCACCACGCCGGGAGAGAGCACCGCCAGGATGAGGTAGAGCCAGATGTAGGCGAAGACGCTCCAGGCGGCGGTCACGAAGAAGACCCTCAGGTGCTTGACCCGGCGCGTCTCTCCGTCCGGGATCACGGACACGCACAGCCCCAGGATCACGAACATGTTAAAGGCTGCGCTGCCCACGATGGTGTTCGGACCGAGCTCTCCGGCCTTAAAGTCATGACCGCACACCTCCACCACCTGAAGAGGACCATGAGAGGACCATGAGAGGACCATGGGGGTTAGAGAGGACCATGAGAGGACCATGAAGGTTACAGAGAGGACCATGAGAGGACCATGGAGGTTAGAGAGAGGACCAAGCTCTCCGGCCTTAAAGTCATGACCGCACACCTCCACCACCTGAAGGAGGACCATGAGAGGACCATGAGAGGACCATGGGGGTTAGAGAGGACCATGAGAGGACCATGAAGGTTACAGAGAGGACCATGAGAGGACCATGGAGGTTAGAGAGAGGACCAAGCTCTCCGGCCTTAAAGTCATGACCGCACACCTCCACCACCTGAAGAGGACCATGGGGGTTACAGAGGACCATGAAGGGTAGAGAGAGGACCATGAGAGGACCATGGGGGTTACAGAGGACCATGAAGGGTAGAGAGAGGACCATGAGAGGACCATGGGGGTTACAGAGGACCATGAAAGTTAGAGAGAGGACCATGGGGGTTACAGAGAGGACCATGAGAGGACCATGAGGGGTTACAGAGGACCATGAGAGGACCATGGGGGTTACAGAGGACCATGGGGGTTACAGAGAGGACCATGGGGGTTACAGAGGACCATGGGAGGACCGAGCTCTCCGGCCTTAAAGTCATGACCGCACACCTCCACCACCTGAGGAGGACCATGGGGGTTAGAGAGGACCATGGGGGTTACAGAGGACCATGAGAGGACCATGAAGGGTAGAGAGAGGACCATGGGGGTTACAGAGAACCATGAGAGGACCATGAGAGGACCATGAAGGTTAGAGAGAGGACCGAGCTCTCCGGCCTTAAAGTCATGACCGCACACCTCCACCACCTGAAGCAGGACCATGGGGGTTAGAGAGGACCATGAGAGGACCATGAGAGGACCATGGAGGTTAGAGAGAGGACCGAGCTCTCCGGCCTTAAAGTCATGTGGGAGGTTAGAGAGAGGACCATGACCATGAAGGTTAGAGAGAGGACCATGAGAGGACCATGAGGGGTTACAGAGGACCATGGGGGTTAGAGAGAGGACCATGGAGGTTAGAGAGAGGAACATGAGACGACCATGAGGGGTTAGAGAGAGGACCATGAGAGGACCATGGAGGTTACAGAGGACCATGAGAGGACCATGGGGGTTACAGAGGACCATGAAGGGTAGAGAGAGGACCATGAGAGGACCATGAGGGGTTACAGAGAGGACCATGGGGGTTACAGAGGACCATGGAGGTTAGAGAGAGGACCATGGAGGTTAGAGAGAGGACCATGAGGGGTTACAGAGGACCATGGGGGTTACAGAGGACCATGGGGGTTACAGAGGACCATGGAGGTTAGAGAGAGGACCATGGAGGTTAGAGAGAGGACCATGAGGGGTTACAGAGGACCATGGGGGTTAGAGAGAGGACCATGAGAGGACCATGGGGGTTACAGAGGACCATGGGGGTTACAGAGAGGACCATGAGAGGACCATGGGGGTTACAGAGAGGACCATGAGAGGACCATGGGGGTTACAGAGAGGACCATGGGGGTTACAGAGGACCATGGGGGTTACAGAGAGGACCATGAAGGTTAGAGAGAGGACCATGAGAGGACCATGAGGGGTTACAGAGAGGACCATGGGGGTTACAGAGGGGAACATGGGGGTTACAGAGGACCATGGGGGTTACAGAGAGGACCATGAGAGGACCATGAGGGGTTACAGAGAGGACCATGGGGGTTACAGAGAAGACCATGGGGGTTACAGAGGATCATGGGGGTTACAGAGGACCATGGGGGTTACAGAGAGGACCATGAGAGGACCATGAGGGGTTACAGAGGACCATGGAGGTTAGAGAGAGGACCATGAAGGTTAGAGAGAGGACCATGGGGGTTAGAGAGAGGACCATGGAGGTTAGAGAGAGGACCATGGAGGTTAGAGAGGACCATGGAGGTTAGAGAGAGGACCATGACCATGAAGGTTAGAGAGAGGACCATGAGAGGACCATGAGGGGTTACAGAGGACCATGGGGGTTAGAGAGAGGACCATGGAGGTTAGAGAGAGGACCATGGAGGTTAGAGAGAGGAACATGAGACGACCATGAGGGGTTAGAGAGAGGACCATGAGAGGACCATGAGGGGTTAGAGAGAGGACCATGAAGGTTAGAGAGAGGACCATGGGGGTTACAGAGGACCATGAAGGTTAGAGAGAGGACCATGGAGGTTAGAGAGAGGACCATGACCATGAAGGTTAGAGAGAGGATCATGGGGGTTAGAGAGAGGAACATGAAGGTTAGAGAGAGGACCATGAAGGTTAGAGAGAGGACCATGAAGGTTAGAGAGAGGACCATTGAGGTTAGAGAGAGGACCATGAAGGTTAGAGAGAGGACCATGAAGGTTAGAGAGAGGACCATTGAGGTTAGAGAGAGGACCATGAAGGTTAGAGAGAGGACCATGGAGGTTAGAGAGAGGACCATGAAGGTTAGAGAGAGGAACATGAAGGTTAGAGAGAGGACCATTGAGGTTAGAGAGAGGACCATGAAGGTTAGATAGAGGACCATGAAGGTTAGAGAGAGGACCATGAAGGTTAGAGAGAGGACCATGGAGGTTAGAGAGAGGACCATGAAGGTTAGAGAGAGGAACATGAAGGTTAGAGAGAGGACCATGAAGGTTAGAGAGAGGACCATTGAGGTTAGAGAGAGGACCATGAAGGTTAGAGAGAGGAACATGAAGGTTAGAGAGAGGACCATTGAGGTTAGAGAGAGGACCATGAAGGTTAGAGAGAGGACAATGAAGGTTAGAGAGAGGACCATGAAGGTTAGAGAGAGGTCCATGAAGGTTAGAGAGAGGACCATTGAGGTTAGAGAGAGGACCATGAAGGTTAGAGAGAGGACCGTGAAGGTTAGAGAGGACCATGAAGGTTAGAGAGAGGACCATGAAGGTTAGAGAGGACCATGAAGGTTAGAGAGAGGACCATGAAGGTTAGAGAGAGGACCATGAAGGTTAGAGAGAGGGGAGGGAGAAGACCAGAGAGAGACCAGAGAGAGACCAGAGAGAGCCCAGAGTCAGCTCTAACCCAGTGTCCATTGTGATACTTTGTAGATTGAGGAAATGAAAGACCAGAACAGACCGACAGCAGGATCTCCGGCGCCGAGGACCCGAGCGCCATGAGCGTGAGGTTGGACACGGTCTCGTTCCAGATGCGCACCGTGGCCGTGACCTTCTCGCCGTTGGGTTTCTTGATGGTGACCTGGCGCTCTTGAGACGTGATGACCTCGATGGACGCCATGAAGCGGTCTGCGATGATGGACACACCCAGGAAGGTGTAGGCCATCGCCAGGAAGTAGATGATCGCCCTGGCAACGCGCTCCGAGCCGGCCGGGTTCACGGGTTGCCAGATCGGGAGCATGACGCCCTCGACGCAGTTGGTGTTCCCGCCACATTTGGGAGCCGAGGTGTTGGAGGAGGAGTTGGAGAGAGAGGAGACAGCGCCCCCAGCGGAGGAGGGTTGGAACTGCAGAGAGAAGACCAGGACGAGCAGAGAGAGGAGAGGAAACAAGGACGCCATTTTGGAGCTGCCGGGAATCTGTGAAACGGAATGGAGATAGGGTTAGATATGGAGAAGAAGTGATATGTACCAGAGAGAGTCCAGAGAAAGACCAGAGAGAGACCAGAGAGAGACCAGAGAGAGACCAGAGAGAGACCAGAGAGAGTCCAGAGAGAGACCAGAGAGAGACCAGAGAGAGACCAGAGAGAGACCAGAGAGAGCCCAGAGAGAGACCAGAGAGAGACCAGAGAGAGACCAGAGAGAGACCAGAGAGAGACCAGAGAGAGACCAGAGAGACCAGAGAGAGACCAGAGAGAGACCAGCGAAAGACCAGAGAGAAACCAGCGAGAGACGAAGAGAGAGACCAGAGAGAGACCAGAGAGAGACCAGAGAGAGGACCAGAGAGAGACCAGAGAGACCAGAGAGAGACCAGCGAGAGACCAGAGAGACCAGAGAGAGACCAGAGAGAGACCAGCGAGAGAGACCAGCGAAAGACCAGAGAGAGACCAGAGAGAGACCAGAGAGAGACCAGAGAGAGACCAGAGAGAGACCAGAGAGATAGACCAGAGAGAGAGGCCAGAGAGAAACCAGCGAGAGACCAGAGAGAGACCAGAGAGATAGACCAGAGAGAGAGGCCAGAGATACTTGATCCATTGATAATTGTTAAAAATAAAGTTTCTTTTTCCAGCTAAAAAAATATACTAATGAGAGAGAGCGACTGGACTCACCGTGGTCTGCAGCTCGTCTGGTTCTGCTCCGAGCAGGACTGTCCCGCCTCCTCCTCAGTCCTCCCCCCTGTCCTCCCCCCTGTCCCCCCCTCCCTGTCCTCCCCCATCAGTCCTCCCTCTATCTTCCCAGCCCTCTCTGGTGTTTGGGATGCGGCCGATCAACACAGATTTAAAAACACATTTTTCATTGTGTGTGTGAAAGACTTTTTCGGCTGAGAGCTGATTGGCCGAAATGGGGATCCTCTCTTTTTGAATTTCCTGTCTGAAAAAGCTGAACTGAGAAAGTGCTAAAAATATATGCATGAGAACGAGTGGTAGAACCTTTCTAGTCTCTCTCTGGTCTCTCTCTCTAGTCTCTCTCTGGTCTCTCTCTCTGGTCTCTCTCTAGTCTCTCTCTGGTCTCTCTCTCTGGTCTCTCTCTCTGGTCTCTCTCTCTGGGCTCTCTCTCTGGTCTCTCTCTCTCTCTGGTCTCTCTCTCTGGTCTCTCTCTCTCTGGTCTCTCTCTCTCTGGTCTCTCTCTCTCTGGTCTCTCTCTCTGGTCTCTCTCTCTGGTCTCTCTCTCTCTGGTCTCTCTCTCTCTGGTCTCTCTCTCTGGTCTCTCTCTGGACAGAAACTAAATGGCCGCCATAGTTCCATTAGTTAATGAACGTCTAAAAGGTCTGGATCCTTCCTTGACTCACAAGTTGATCCAAAGACTCTCCTCAAACTCAAAGTGGGCCATAAAGTTCCCTCCCGTCTCTGCGAGTGTCATTCTTCCAGATCATTCCAAACAGATCAAAGTCGGCGAAGCATCGAAGCCGAATGTGAAGTCAGCCACGTGCTTGTCGGCGCGGAAAGACCTGCGGTTAATTTATGTATGTATGTCAACGGCCTGTACGTGTGTAATTAGCCAATCCAGAGCCATCGCTAACCATTAGCTAGACTCCACCTGAGCGTACGGCTCTCGACAACCGTAAACACCAGGAAAGTATGGAAATCATAAATATGCAACATTCTCTGAGGTTAATATCCACAGGGTTTGTGTGTTATGCAGAACAGTTAAGTTAGAGAGTGGATGTCCTGGTCCTGGTTTATCGCAGGAGTGACGTGTTCTCAAAATAACCCATAATAAGGTAAATCCTTGAAGGAGCAGCTTTATTAAGGCTGAAAAACCCTCACATTTGAGATACTTTTCTAAACACCTGAACTCACGACGGATGGAGTGAGAGACCAGAGATATCAGACATGTGAGTTGAGAGACCAGGGAGAGATCAGAGAGAGGCCAGAGAGAGACCAGAGAGAGGCCAGAGAGAGGCCAGAGAGAGACCAGAGAGAGACCAGAGAGAGGCCAGAGAGAGACCAGAGAGAGACCAGAGAGAGACCAGAGAGAGGCCAGAGAGAGGCCAGAGAGAGGCCAGAGAGAGGCCAGAGAGAGACCAGAGAGAGGCCAGAGAGAGGCCAGAGAGAGGCCAGAGAGAGGCCAGAGAGAGGCCAGAGAGAGGCCAGAGAGAGGCCAGAGAGAGGCCAGAGAGAGGCCAGAGAGAGACCAGAGAGAGACCAGAGAGAGGCCAGAGAGAGGCCAGAGAGAGGCCAGAGAGAGGCCAGAGAGAGGCCAGAGAGAGGCCAGAGAGAGACCAGAGAGAGGCCAGAGAGAGACCAGAGAGAGACCAGAGAGAGACCAGAGAGAGACCAGAGAGAGACCAGAGAGAGGCCAGAGAGAGGCCAGAGAGAGGCCAGAGAGAGGCCAGAGAGAGGCCAGAGAGAGGCCAGAGAGAGGCCAGAGAGAGGCCAGAGAGAGGCCAGAGAGAGGCCAGAGAGAGACCAGAGAGAGACCAGAGAGAGACCAGAGAGAGACCAGAGAGAGACCAGAGAGAGGCCAGAGAGAGGCCAGAGAGAGACCAGAGAGAGACCAGAGAGAGGCCAGAGAGAGACCAGAGAGAGGCCAGAGAGAGGCCAGAGAGAGGACGTGCCTCACGCTCTCTTCAAACGCCTCATTCCTCCACATTTTCCATCTATATTTTTTCCTCCCTTTGGTTAATTAAGGAAACACTCTTAAATGTCACGCATCACAGCTGACGGCGTCTGACGGCTCCGGCCCTGGCTCGGCTCGGCTCGAATCAGCCCTGGCTCGGTTCGGAAGAGAAACAGAAATATACTTTTGAAACCGGCTTCAAAGCTTCAGTGGCCGGACACGAGAGAGCGAAGGGAGAGAACAGCGTGTGTGTGTGTGTGTGTGTGTGTGTGTGTGTGTGTGTGTGTGTGCGTGTCTTGCCTCACTCCAGTCTCTACTTTCTCTGGTCTCTCATCTCACTCTGGTTTCTCTCGTTGCACTCTCGCCTCTCTCTGTTCTCTCTCATCTCACTCTAGCCTCGCTCTGGTCTTTCTCTCATCTCACTCTGGTCTCTCCTTTGTCCGGTCCTTCTTTTCTCTGGTCGCTCTCGTCTCACTTGTCTTACTCTGGTCTCTCTCATTTCACTGTCACTTCACTCCGGTCTCTCTCATATCTCACTTATCTCACTCTGATCTCTCTCATCTCAACCTCGCCTCACTCTGGTCTCTCTCTCATCTCACTTATCTCACTCTGGTCTCTCTCATCTCACTTATCTCACTCTGGTCTCTCTCATCTCACTCTCGCCTCACTCTGGTCTTGGACTCTGTTGGCAGATGTGGCAGAGATTTCAAATACCCTTGATCTTATGTGAGCAGTTATAAAGGTTTCATGTTTTTTAAATAATGCATATTTCTGACCAAGGGACACTCATATTTTCCAACAATAATTAGTGCCAGTTAAAGTAGCACCTTCAGTGGTCTCCCATCACAGTACTAACCATGCCCTGCCCTGCTTTGCTTCAGCTCATACTTTGATCCTGTTTCAGAGCTCAAATGAACACAGATACTGCATTCTATTTGTTCTTTAAATCTGATGAGGCAGTCGTGACCATGGAGACCGCACTGGGAGCCGGCGCCTGGACCGGCTCGCGCTCTCTTCACTCGGAGACCAATTAGAAGCTTCCGGCGTCCTAATTAATCCACAGATCTCTCTTGATTCGACAAACACGCCGCATACATTTCCTCTGCGTTTCATTCCTTCTTTATAATGAGCAAAGAGCCTCAGGACTGTAAGACCGCACCAAGGCGACCGCGGGACCTCCCCGAGCCCAAGCAGCAGGAGGCTGTAGACCCAGGACTGAGGCTGTAGACCCAGGACTGAGGCTGTAGACCCAGGATTGAGGCTGTAGACCCAGGACTGAGGTTGTAGACCCAGGACTGAGGTTGTAGCCCCAGGACCAAGGCTGTAGACCCCGGACCGAGGTCTACAGCCTCAGTCCTGGATCTACGGCTGTAGACCCTGGACTGACGCTGGAGATCCAGGACTGAGGCTGTAGAGCCAGGACTGAGGCTGTAGAGCCAGGACTGAGGCTGTAGAGCCAGGACTGAGGCTGTGGACCCAGGACTGAGACTAGACCAGTCCACATTTCTAATCTTTTTAGTCGTTTGATTCAAATCCTCGCTAAATACATTTTCTTTCCATAGAATTGTGTAGATTGTCTTTGAGCACGTGTCCAGACTGCAGTGAAAACCGAAAAGGCTGAGGTCAGTTTGGCTTCAGCTGTAATGAGTCATAAGATCCATCTGCTGCAGGAGAGAGACCCTGAGGCAGCACTTAGACCTGCACGAGTCTGTTAAATCTGGTCTGAGATCTAGCCTCACTGTGAGAACGAGACCAGGGATCCAGACTGTGTCAAATAATCTGCAAATGATGTAGACTGTTGCTTCTCTCTCTGGTCTCTCTCTGGCCTCTCTACGGTCTCTCTATGGTCCATCTAGTCTCTCTCTTGTCTCTGTCTGGTCTTCCTCTGCTCTCTCCCTGGTCTCTGGTTTCCCTCTGGTCTCTGGTCACTGGTCTCTCTCTGGTCTCTGGTCACTGGTCTCTCTCTGGTCTCTCTCTGGTCTCTCTCTGGTCTCCCTCTGGTCTCCCTCTGGTCTCTGATCTCTGGTCTCTGGTGCCTGGTCTCTGTCTTGTCGCATGGCGCCGTAAAGATGGCGCAGTGGCAAGAGCTCTGGTGTGTGTCATCTTCTGGTGCACACTGGGGAAGTCTTACACAGTTTTTCCAATGTGGTTTTACTGCAAATGGCAAATAAATTAATCTGAATCTGGTCTCCCTCTGGTCTTCCTCTGTTCTTTCCCTGGTGTCTGGTCCCTGGTCTCCCAATGGTCTCTGGTCTCTGGTCTCTGGTCTCTGGTCTCCCTCTGGTTTCTGGTCACTTGTCTCCCTCTGGTCTCTCTCTGGTCTCCCTCTTGTCTCTCTCTGGTCTCTCTCTGGTCTCTCTCTGGTCTCTCTCTGGTCCCTGGTCTCTGGTCTCTCTCTGGTCCCTGGTCTCTGGTCTCTCTCTGGTCTCCCTCTTGTCTCTCTCTGGTCTCTCTCTGGTCTCTCTCTGGTCTCTCTCTGGTCTCTCTCTGGTCTCTCTCTGGTCTCTCTCTGGTCTCTCTCTGGTCTCTCTCTGGTCTCTCTCTGGTCTCCCTCTGGTCTCTCTCTGGTCTCTCTCTGGTCTCCCTCTGGTCTCTCTCTGGTCTCCCTCTTGTCTCTCTCTGGTCTCTCTCTGGTCTCTCTCTGGTCTCTCTCTGGTCTCTCTCTGGTCTCCCTCTGGTCTCCCTCTGGTCTCTCTCTGGTTCTCCCTCTGGTCTCTCTCTGGTCTCTCTCTGGTCTCTCTCTGGTCTCCCTCTGGTCTCCCTCTGGTCTCTCTCCGGTCTCTCTCTGGTCTCTCTCTGGTCTCTCTCTGGTCCCTCTTTGGTCTCCCTCTGGTCCCCGGTCTCACTCTCTGTGTTCCTCAGGTCCAGGAGCCTCAGAGTGACCGACATCTCATCGACACGTCTCCGGTCCTCCAGAAGCTGACCAGTTTTGAGGAGGCCATCGGAGTCTTGTTCACCCACGTGAGGCTGCTGGCCCGGGCCTTCACCCTGCGCACCGTGGGCTTCAACCACCTCACACTGTAAGTCCCTCACTCACAGACCAGGAGCTACCGAGCTGCACTCGCCCAAAATAAGAGCCTTGCGTAGTTATACTCGCGTAGTGACGCAGTGATGGGCAGAGGTGGTGGGCTCCCTCCTTAGCAGAGGTGGTGGGCTGCCTCCTTAGCAGAGGTGGTGGGCTCCCTCCTTAGCAGAGGTGGTGGGCTCCCTCCTTAGCAGAGGTGGTGGGCTCCCTCCTTAGCAGAGGTGGTGGGCTCCCTCCTTAGCAGAGGTGGTGGGCTGCCTCCTTAGCAGAGGTGGTGGGCTCCCTCCTTAGCAGAGGTGGTGGGCTCCCTCCTTAGCAGAGGTGGTGGGCTCCCTCCTTAGCAGAGGTGGTGGGCTCCCTCCTTAGCAGAGGTGGTGGGCTCCCTCCTTAGCAGAGGTGGTGGGCTCCCTCCTTAGCAGAGGTGGTGGGCTGCCTCCTTAGCAGAGGTGGTGGGCTCCCTCCTTAGCAGAGGTGGTGGGCTCCCTCCTTAGCAGAGGTGGTGGGCTCCCTCCTTAGCAGAGGTGGTGGGCTCCCTCCTTAGCAGAGGTGGTGGGCTCCCTCCTTAGCAGAGGTGGTGGGCTGCCTCCTTAGCAGAGGTGGTGGGCTCCCTCCTTAGCAGAGGTGGTGGGCTCCCTCCTTAGCAGAGGTCTCCGACCGCGGTAAAGTGACCTGGCTTTTTTAATTCAGCGGTAAACATTAAAAGCTGCTGTTACTTACAGTAAAAAGTACATTGTGGCGGCTTCTCTTTCCAACGTTACCGTAATAGCGGCCACCCTCTTTTACCACTGACTCCGAAAAGCCGGGCCTCTTTACCGCGCTGTTCTCTGTTGCCCTCTCTCCCTCCGCAGTATTCGCACCTTCAGCCTCACCTCTGACACATGTGACTGTTCTCCCTCTCCGGGTTTTCTTGCGACTCCCCCCAGGGGTTCCCGCAACCCCCACTTTGGGAACTAGAGTAGAGTAGAGTAGAGTAGAGTAGAGTAGAGTAGAGTAGAGTAGAGTAGAGTAGAGTAGAGTAGAGTAGAGTAGAGTAGAGTAGAGTAGAGTAGAGTAGAGTAGAGTAGAGTAGAGTAGAGTAGGGCAGGCTGGAAACAGCGCTATAGTTGACTGGATGATATCTCTCCTCTGTCCTTCCCTTCTGCTGAATGTCATCTTCAAAGCCCTGGTCTGGTCTGGATCTGGTCTGGGTCTAATCCCGGTCTTTCACAGCTCAAAGCCTCTCTCTCCACTGGGACCGTTTCCATCTGCAGCAGCCGTAACCCCGCGGGCTCATGGGAAAAACCCTCCACGTTGTCTGGGCCCAAAGACACAACAATGAAAAGGCTTTTGATTCAAGTTTAGATCAGTCCTGTTTTTGAGATGAGATTGTTTAATGTTGTAGAATTTAAAAGGAATTAAAGCTGAGGTACCTAAATTTGCTTCTCTCTCTAGTTTTCACATTTATGTATTTTAGGCATCGGTCACATCTTTAGCTCAAATATGAGAGAGAGAGCAGAGGTCAGAGAGAGAGACCAGAGAGAGAGACCAGAGAGAGAGACCAGAGAGAGAGACCAGAGAGAGAGACCAGAGAGAGAGACCAGAGAGAGAGACCAGCGAGAGAGACTAAGGCGACCACAGCTCCTGACAGATGCCAAAGCAGTCATTAAAGTTTGGTCAAATGCAGAGAAACTGTTTCCAGGAACTAGCCGAGTTCTTGTCATTGGTGGTTTTGAAGTTAGGTACCTGAGCTTTAGTCCGTGCCGTAGATAAAAGGCTTACAGTCCGTGTCCACAGCAGAGGTCTCCTAAACTAGGCCATCACTCAGACTCTGTCCAAACGTATCTGGGTCAGTCTGAAGTCAGTCTGAAAGCAGGCCAAAGGTTTGAGGAGCCAGACCGGAGACTCAGGGTCTGGACCACGGTCTGCACCAGGGTCTGGACCAGGGGTGAACCATGAACCAGGGATTTCCTAGTTGAACTGGGGACGAGCCGACCCAAAACAGAGACGACCTCTGGCTCTGCTCTTGTAAACTCTGTCCTCATTGTGTGGTTCGTTGATGGTCCGGTCCAGGTTTCTCACCTTTGGATCCAGGTCTAAAACCACTTTCTACAGCTCTATTTTCTGAAACTAATGAGCTGTGTTCATGTTGTAGAATTGTATTTTAGTTTTTCAGCGGCAAAGTAAACAATGAAATCGTTTTGAGAGAAAAGTTTAAGAAGAAATTTTTGATATTGATTAGATTCACAAAAGCACTATTTTATTCTTATACCAAAGAGAGAGACTAGAGAGTCTAGGAGAGAGACCAGAGAGAGAGAGACCAGAGAGAGACCAGAGAGAGAGAGACCAGAGAGAGAGAGACCAGAGAGAGAGAGACCAGAGAGAGAGACCAGAGAGAGAGAGACCAGAGAGAGAGAGACCAGAGAGAGAGAGACCAGAGAGAGACCAGAGAGAGCGACCAGAGAGAGAGAGACTATAGAGAGAGACTATAGAGAGAGACTATAGAGAGAGACCATAGAGAGAGACCATAGAGAGACCATAGAGAGACCAGAGGGAGACCAGA